ATTATAAATACTTTGTATACGTTAGTTTTGTTGAATAGAGAGAATTATTCATTTCATTGAGATATGGTGTATGATTTCCTCTTAATAATTAGAGTCTAGATGACTCATAATCAGAAACTTAACATGGTATCCAGAGCATAGTCGTTTTTATGCCTCTTATAAAACAAGATACATGAGACTTAGATCAAAGAATCCAAGATTCGCGTTTAAAGATCCACTGAGGTGTGTGCTGAGAACAACATAATTTTCCCCCAGTGATATTGGGCCAATAAAAGAAAGGACCCAGACAACCATATAGCTACATTACACATATCAGACTTAGGTCATTATTCAAGAAAACCCTAACCTTCTTCTGAGTTAGATGTGAATGAACAAAGACGCGACTAAAGAAAGCATAGAAACTATCAATTCTTCCATAAGCCTTAAAGACATCCATATGCCAAATGAGGAGAAGAAAGCGGTATCAGTGACGGCCACTAATTTCACACATCTGCTATATCTTCATCCTTCAAACACAGGCCATCATGCTCATCCCTCACATTTTGACTGGAAGCAAGAACTACAGTATTTGGAGCAAGGTGATGCAAATCTCGTTGCTTGGAAAGCACAAATTAGGATTCGTTAATGGTTCTTGCATAAAAGAATCACAAGATCCGGCCCTTCGTGATCAATGGGAACGTTGCAATGCTGTAATGTTGTCATGGCTTTTAAACTCTATCATGAAGGAACTTTCTTATGGTATCGCTTTCTCACAAAGTGCATCTCAAGTGTGGAATGATCTCAAAGAACATTTCAATAAGGCAACGGTGATTGGGATTTTCTCCATCCACTGAGAAATCAACTCTTTGATTTAGGTTTACTGTTGATTTTTAGCTACTTTACTAGACTAAAGGAGCTATGGGAAGAACAAGCTGTGCTCATTATTATCCTATCATGTAAGTATGAGACTTCAAAGGCTTATGGGGATCTGATTCAACAACAGAAGCTACTATAATTTTTAATGGGACTCAATGACACGTATAGTGTTGCGAGAAGCCAGATACTAATGATGACCCCCCTTCTAATAGTTAATCAAGCGTATAGCATGATTGTTGAGGATAAAGCTCAAAGATCCATAATGAACCTGAACATGCCCACCCTGTTTGATGGCAATGCTATGGCAGTCACTGGAAGACAAGGCCCTGGAAAGGGACATGATCGTGGAAACCTAAATATAGAGTTCTTATTACAAAAAGAAAGATCACATGAAAGAAAATTTCTTCCATATTGTGGGGTTTCTACCCAATTGGAAAAGCAAAGACAAAAAAGCTTCTGAGTAGTGCATTAATTAAGTGACAAGTGATAATACATAGGATGAAGCAAATGGTAGTGTGGCACCATCATTTACAAAGGAACAGTATGAAAAAATCCTCCAATTGCTCAAAAGGGATCCAAAGCCAGCAGGACATGCCTTGACTGGTATAGGTTTGAGTAATTATAATTCTAAATTACATGTTGATTGGATTTTAGATTCAAGAGCCACCACCCAAATGGTGAGCAGTCTTGATTATCTGGATAGTTATAAAGAATATAATGAATTAAAACATTAAAATCCCTAATAGACAATTTATTCGAATTACTCACATAGGTGATATCAAATTAATTAATGATATTATTTTGAAGAATGTCCTGTTTGCTCCTGGTTATGTTTTGACTTGATTGCGACATCTAGACTAACAATAATGCATGGTAGCTTTTTTGTTTTTCCTAATTTTTACCTTTTACAGGACCTTCAAGATGGCAAGATAAGAATGACTAGTAGACTAATTAAGGGATTGTATATTCTTACCATTGATAATAAACAACATTTTCTTGCTATTAAGGATTTTGATTTGAATAAAACAATAGATTATAATTGGCTTTGGCATTATAAATTGAGTCATGCACCCAGCAAGGTTATTAAACATTTACCTAACGTACATAGTGTTTATAGAGCTGATAATACAATTTGTGACATTTGTGTTCAATCTAAATAAACCAAGTTGCCTTTCTCTACTAGTATTGTTAAATCCAAGCTATCTTTTGAATTATTACATATGGATGTTTGGGGACCTTATAGAGAACATTCACACATGGGTCATCAATATTTTCTTACTATTGTAGATGATTTCTCCAGAGCAACATGGTTTTACTTAATGAAACAAAAATTTGAAACCATAGATTATATTAAGAATTTTTTCTTTTATGTTTCATACCAATTCTCTACTAAGATAAAGAAGATTAGAACTGACAATGGGAAGGAATTTGTTAATTTTGCTCTTAGGAATTATCTAGAGGAAAAAGGGCTTGTTAGTGAAATAACTTGTCCTTACACCCTAAAACATAATGGAGTTGTTGAGAGAAAATATAGGAGTTTAATTCAAGTTTTTAAAGGAGTAATGATACAATTTGGTATGCCCATTAAGTATTAGGGAGAATGAGTGAAAATTGCAACATACATAATCAATAGAATTCCCTCTAAAATATTGCAATTTAAGACTTCATATGAGTTGATTTATGATGAGGTTCCTTGTTTATATCATTTGAGAGTGTTCGGTTCTCTTTCTTTTGCTACTAACCTAACCATCATAGATAAGTTTGAACCACAATCTGTTCCTTGTGTTTTCTTATGTTATCCACATAATCAAAAGGGTTTTATTCTACTTGATCTTGCTACTAGACGTGTTTTTGTTAGTAGACATGTTAAATTTCTTGAGAATCGTTTTCCTTTTAAAGACATTGCACAAACAAACTAAGAATCTCAATGGTCTTCTAATCACAACCAGTTTTGGGATGATATTGAAACCATGCATTATAAGCCTGAATCTAACAGGTCTGGATACACAAAACATGTTAATAATCAAATGGAATGTGGTCATGATGTAGGTGAAAAGGACATAATAGACACAAATATGACTAAACAGCCTAGGATGAGACCTTTCAGGGAAAGAAAACCACCAATATAGGCAAAAGATTGTGCTTTTTTTTTTTGCAACTTCATGCATTAATTCTAGCATTAAGTATCCTATTCAAAATCATGTTTTGTATGCTGACATATCACGTTCTTATCACTCTTTCTTATCCTCAATTAATTTTGTTCATGAGCCAACTAGTTATGAGGCTACTATGAAAGATGGGTTTAGGCCATGATTAATGAGTTACAGGCCTTAGAAAATAGCTATAGCCAAAAGGAGGACATAACCTATCATGAGACCTTTTCTCTAGTAGTTAAGATGGTAACGATTAAAATCATACTTAATCTTGCTACCTAAAGTAACGGGGGCTTGCTCCAAATGGATGTATATAATGTTTTCTTGTTGGGAGACCTAAATGAAGAGGTATATAGGAGGGTACCTTAAGGACTTCATAGTAAAAGGGAAATACAGCATGTAAATTGAAAAAATCACTGTATGGGCTGAAACAAGCTTCAAGGCAGTGGAATTGTAAGTTGTTTGAGGCCTTATTAGAAGCTAGATTTAAACAGAATAGGTATGATTATTCACTTTTTACTAAACATACTGATAATGGTATAGTATTAGTACTGGTTTATGTGGATGATCTACTTATAACTGATAGTTTGCATGTTGATATTGTTGAAACTAAAGATTTTCTCAAATCTAAATTTAAAATCAAAGATTTGGTGTCCTTAAAGTATTTTTTAGGGATTGAGATCGCCAAGTCCAATAAAGGTATAGTGATGAGTTAGCATAAATATGTTCTAGATTTATTATCAGATATAGGTATAAGTGAGTGTAAGCCTCTTAACGTCCCTATACCACAAAACCTGAAGCTTTTAGCATATGAAAAAGGTAAATATAAGAACGAAGAATTGTTGAGGGATCCTAGAGAACATAAGAGGTTGGTAGGAAGGTTGATTTATTTGACTATGACCCATCTTGATATCTTTTTTCTTATACAGGTTATCAGTCAGTTTATGAACCGTCCAATGAAAGCTCATACATGGCAGCTACCAAGAATATACTTCATTACTTAAAACAGAACCTAGGACTTAGAGTGTTGCTCAGCTCAAATAAAAACACAGATCTAAGTTACTTTTGTGATTCAAATTGGGCTTCGTGTAGTACATCCCGATGATCTATTACTGGCTATTTAGTCAAATTAGGTAATGGTCTAGTTTCTTGGAAAACAAAGAAGCAGCACACGATGTCTAAGTCCTCTGTGAAAGCTGAATATAGAGCCTTGAGTTTTGCAATATTAGAAGTCGTTTGGATTGTAGGATTGGTTAAGGATTTAAACATTTCTCGTATTCAGCCTATAAGTGTTTACTGTGACAGTCAAGCAGCCATACACATTGCTAACAACCCTGTTTTCCATAAGAGGATGAAACACATATAAATAGATGGTCATTTTGTCAGAGACAAGCTACAAGAGAAGATTATTCACCTGAATCATGTTCATTCAGGACAATAAGAAGCTGATGTTCTCACCAAGGCACTAGGTAGAAAAGCGCATGAATATCTTTTAGGCAAGTTGGGTACCATAGATCTTTATAGCACCAACTTGAGGGGGACTGTAGAAAATGAGAAATAAATTTAATAGTTTTCTTTCTTGTGTGTGTATATGTCAGTTTATTCTTTTATGTATTATTTTAGTCAGCACAGCAACATTATAAATACTTTGTATATGTTGGGTTTGTTGAATAGAAAGAATTATTCATTTCATTGAGATATGGTGTATGATTTTCTCTCAATAATCAGTGTCTAAATGACTCATAATTAAAAACTTAACAAGAATAAATAATATATAAATAATTTGCATGTCTTGATCAATTTAGTTAGAAATAAACATTTTAAGCATATTCTTAATTGTGTTCTTGACATGAGACATGCATTCAAATTTCAATGAGTATTATTATTAGATTATTAGATTATGTTTAAGTATTACCAGGTACTTTAAATTACAACCTACTATATATAAATAATCTTCTTCGTATGCAATGATGAAGAATTTGTTCCAGGAGAGAGATTAGGGCAAGATATTGAATGAAGATATGATTCGTACGTTCATGGGACAAATGAACAAACAGTAAATAAGGACATAGCAGACGACCTCTTTGACTGATCTATAACCAATGTGTTGGTTATGTTATTGATTATAGCCTAAGAGAAATGTTTTCTTCCCCTGGGTAAGATAAATATAAGCTATTAAGCCCAAGAAGAAAACAACGTCCCATTATTTTATTTCCTTCTTTTTGTAAAGGGTTTAAAGTTTAAACCCTTAATCACGACCCAAATCTCATCCCATCGTTACCACTTCCTCTACTTCACTTCATCCGCAAATTTACACGCCCCTTAATGCATGATCTTCCTTTACATACATTCCTACAGAAACTTATGAAATGGCCAAGTAATTAATAATCTCAACCATCATTCACAAACTTATGAACTGGTTCTTAATCAGTTCCAAAATATCAACCTGCTATCAAACTTCATCAGCCTTTGAACCAAAAGTTGCAACAGCATCACCCACTGATAGAAATATCTTGTCTTCCCCAATTATGTCTACTAACTTGGATGCATAGAGCTTCTCCATCACAACTGGCCCGGGATTTGACAGGATAAGCTGTGACAACGCCAAAGATATTCAATGATATCACAATCAAATGGAAAGCTGTTTACTCACATAAAATCCTTTTAGGCTTGAATAAATGGTATTAGTAAAGAACATGGTACAACATACTATATGTAATCCTAGTCTTGATCATTTGGTCTAATATCAATTTAAGAACTAATTCATCCTTAAGCTCACGTGCTCTAAAGTAAAAAACCTAGAAATAGTTTTCTCTAAGATTGTAAAGGGCATAAGATCATTATAGATAAAGTTATCTGAGAATAAGCAATTTTTTTTGCTTCTGAATTTGAAGATGCTACAAGAATATCACGTGTATATACTCCCACACACATGTAGACATTCCTTGATATTTATTGTCAAGGTCAAAAATGTTGAATGGTGTGATTATTACCTGGACCCCTCTTTTCTGAAGGCTCTTGCATAAATCTTCAAAGGCATGGATGCCACTAGTGTCAATGTCAGTAACAGCTGCAGGAGTATTGTTCCATGAATAAGAATGTTTCGTAGATTAATAATCAATGTCAAGATCAAATCACGTAAAAGCAAACCCTTACGTGACATTTCAACAATCAGATATTCTATTGTGGGAAAACCACTTTCTTTCCTTTGTTCATCTTCATCTTGCAGCCATCTCAGAATTCTGCAATTTGATTGGGTCATATTCATCAGCCAAGCATGATATAAGAGGGTCTACAAACTCAAAGATCATACATAGTTCATCTTATGTAAAATCATTGGCTTTCTTGCAGGTTACCCTTCCTATATTTATTGGTCATAATCATTTGAAACGAACAGCTCATAGTTCCTATATCTACATCATTGTAACTAGTTGCGTTTTAAAATTATGTAGAACGCTAATTTTTCTTTGTTTTTAGGAAATGATGTTTGAACTTTGAACCTAAGACTTCATAAAGTCAAAATCCTTAACTACTAAACCACACCTAGTGGCTTGCTGAACGCTCATTTCTCCAGGATGTCACACATTATATGGGATTAGAAGTGAAATTAGTCACCTGTCCTTGATATAGTTGGAGTTTGAGAAGTAGATCGCAGAGTCAACTCTAATAATTAGCATTTGGGGAACCTGTGTAGCATTTGGGTATTGATAGATGTTCCTGTACACCTTGGTCCCAGGAAGCTTCCCAAGGGCGACTGTCCTTGGTCTTGTCACTTGTAAAAGGATTTTGGCAAATGATATGGCCACCTGCAAAACATGAGTTCATCAAATTCTTGCATGATATTAAATATCAGAATTTTAATTGTTTTTCCTTTCAGTTTCTGTTTACCGCAATAAGAAGGCCAATCTCAACATTTTTGAAAACCACACCAAAGAAGGCTCCCATGCAGGCTACAAAATCAAATTTGTCGATCTTCCATAACAGAATGACTGCATCAATGTCAATAAGGCCTATCACAGCTACTATTATAATAGAAGCAAGCACTGCATTAGGGGTGTACTTAAATAGTGGTGTAATGAACACCAAGGTTAATAACACGACAATGGACATGACGATGTTTGATACAGCGGTTTGACAGCCAGCCATGAAATTCACTGCTGAGCGTGAAAAAGATCCTGCATAAATATAAGAAATGGTATCAAGATCACAGCTATTCACTGTAAAGGCTTCCTTAGTGTAAGAGGCTCAAACAATTATATTAGATAATATTGAGCTTTTGCCTTTCACTTTCCTCTTTTGTACCTGTAGCTACATAACAAGATGTCAGTGAACCAATAACATTCATTGTTCCCATAGCCACCATTTCTTTGTTACCATCCAATGAATAATCTTTCATGGCAGCAAATGTCCTCCCAATTGCTACAGCTTCCTACAATTCAGCAAAGTCGGTTTCAAATATAAGAGAAAAAGTCATGTTGAGGCGAGGAACCAGTAGTCATACGTAGAATTAGCTTACTGTGAGTGCAATCAAACCAGCTATCACACCAATCTGAATCCCAGGGCCAAGATATTTTCCACTGAAAAAAATATCACTTGCAGATATTGGATTCACTCCCTTCTCTATGTGTTTCACCTGGAATAGCATAATTTTAGTTCTAAAGTTCAAAACTATGCTTATACTATGATAGAAAATTCAATTTAATACTTAGAAAATTCAATTTAATACTCACAATTGCAACGCCTTTCTTGTCAGCGCGGGTGATGTAGACGAAAAAGGTGGACACTATAACAGATGTTAAAGGAGCAAGTGCAGATACCCAAAATAGTTTCTTATTCTTTTTACCCTGTCCATTATATTACAAAATGATATCTCAGAAAACTGTAATGGAAGAGTTTATCGAAAGGGCAGTCAATGCCATCCTCACCAGATGCTTAGCTGTAAGGAGGAAAGCCAAGAATGCTAAGCCAATGACTATTGTCTGCCAATTCCACTGCAAGAATAGAAGAGACTATAAGTGTGATGCTTGTGAGCTATTCTCTATCTTTTCCCTTCTATACCAAGAGAAAGCAAAATTAAAATTTCATTGGTACCCCGTGGTGCACGTTAGTCCAAACTGAGCGCATAACAGAAATTATGTCACTCTTCTTGGTGAATTTTTTTATGCCAAGCAATCCTTTGAGCTGTTGCAAGGCTATAGTAACAGCAGCTCCGGCCATGAATCCCACAATTGCAGCATGAGATAAGAAGTCGATCAAGAAACCGAGCCTGCGAAGTTGAGTTCAAACTTTAGAGTTGAAGTGGTTTTTTTAAGGGGGGAAAAAACTAGAATTTAGACAGGTCAAGAAAGAAGATTGCATTTGGACCATGTACTGTGCCAAGGGTGTACCTGAGAAATCCGAGTGCCATTTGAGTGATTCCTGCGAAAAAGGTGGCAGTAAATGCAAGACGAAGATAGTCATGACTTCCATAGTCACCAATCTTATCCGTCAGCATAGTTCCAAGCAAAAGGGATACCACAGCCACTGGTCCTATGGCTATATCTCTTGAGCTTCCCATGAAAGCATAAACAAGAGGAGCCACAAAACTGGTGTCTGCACATCCATGTAAATGATACAAAGTTAATCACGTAGAGCCATGAAGCTGAGATGTATACCTGATGAACAAAAATGTTATTAAAAAAATCAAAATACTTACAGAGTGCATACTGCGGTTCCAAATTTGCGAGCTTTGCGTATGCAATATCCTGTTGTGTATTCATATGTGAGTAATGATCCAAAAGCACGCACCAGTGTATTGTTTTTTTCTTCTCTTTTGCAGTAGGACCCTAAAGGAGCACTACTTACCTGAGGAATACAGAGACTTGCAATGGTAAGTCCAGAAACGAGATCCCCTTTAAATTTACTAAGATTGTAACCTCTTCCCCATTCAAGGATTGGGAAAACTGCTTGCAGGCCAAGAACTAACTTTCTGGATGCAGGTTGGTCCTTAAAGTGGCTTAAGGGCTTGTCTGGAAAGAAAGTTTCCATTACAGTTTCTTTGATCTCTTTGAGAAGATTTTGCCTCGGAGGAGCTCCCACCTTGTGAGTATATGGCAAAGTCCTGTCATGTCGACGAGAAGAATGCCCACTTCTGATTTCTTCCGTGACCCTTTCTACCACCTCATCGCTAACACGGTTACTCATTATTGCCAGAGACTAGCAATAACCTGCTGCAAATCACAAAATTATGACGAGAAGTAGCTTGCCGTTAGAGAAGATCTCTGATACCCAGTCAACTGCTATAAATTCTTTGCTGTCAAGTTTTGTCAGGTGATGTATAGCTAAGTTCAGAAAGGAATCATAGAAGGACCTCATTCTCAATTAGACAAGAATATACTGAAATAAATGAATCAAAAGACGAAGAAAAAATACCGAATGATGAACAGTAAAGAGCCCAATGAACTTGCCCTGTACTCTACACAGCGTTCTTGTTCATTCATTATATAGACGCAGGGATGGGATGTCATGGACTTGGAATTTCACTTTACGTGGTTTGTTAATCTTATAAAGTGAATCAGCATTATCATTCTATTTATTGACAATTGGGAACATTATGACGTTTTAATAAGCAAATAAATCTTTTAATAACTTGGGTACTGCAAAAGTCAAAATAAAGCCAAGTTGATCATGCATTTTGGCCCAAAAAAAAGTTGATCATACATTAAGGCTTCAACTGACGCGAGAGAGAGATACGATGATGAAGTAGAAGAAGAAAGTGAAAATCTAAAGATTCACAGACCATGGAAGGTAGTGTTTAGACAGAATTCTAAACCCACAAAACAGTCTTTAAAAAAAAAAAAAAAAGTTTAACCCTTCTGGGTCAAGAAAAATGTAGTTTTTCTAAGGCTCGTGTATTGTATCTATCGTAAGCATTATTCCCAATGAACTAGATTTGGCTTCTCCCAAATTGAAAGTTTCTTTCCCTTGGCCATTGGTTCATTGTAGTTGGCGTAGGGAAAAGTGCAAAAAAATGAACAAGACAAAAATTAAACAGGGGGACCAAAAAGGAAAAAGATGAATTTTACTTTGGATTTTCCATGACTTAATTATCATTGCAAGATTTTGCACGTGTCATTATTTTTCAATCCTTATTCTTTCGTGCAACTGAACCAGGCGGTGGATAATCCAGCAAAATACAAGTTTGAATTAACCTCAATAATCCTCCAATTTATCCTCATCGACTCCTACTAATCATTCCCTAAAGTAATTGAAAGCATTTTACGTCAAAACAGACTAGGTTACTGTAATCTGTAATCTGACTGAAAAAATACCAAATGCTTAGCCACATCTTAGAATCTTGCCTCTGAAACGAATTATTTAAAAGAAATAATAGCACAGTATGTATTCATGCACAGACGATTCATCCAAAGTTTGACAACCGGTGATTAATATGTAAACAATACCAACTTGGATTTTATGAACATGGGAGCATGTAAATCTCCCACAAAGAAAAATTAATTCATGATTAACAAAACAGCAAAATGAAGTAATGAGCAGAACGGAGAAGAGTAATGCAATATATGACGAAAACAGATAAGAAAGTTATATTACGATCGCAGTCGTACCAAAAGTTTCGGAGCCACGCAGCGCATCGATAAGCTTTTAGCCTGGCTTGGTGATTGACTGATTATTATTAAACTCACTGATTATTAAACAAATACGAATGGGACCGTGATTCCGTCCAAGTACATCAAATCTGAGAGCGTTGAAATTTTCCAAATCCTCAGTTTTTGAAATTCCATGATAACGGAAAATAGAATATTCTATTACTATATATACATATATATTTGATTTGATTTTTAATGGTGTCTCATATGATATCAAGGTCGGTTTATTAAAATTTTCTTTTGAAAAATAATTTATTTTTTGGCAGATCGTTAATTAGGAGAATGGCATCTAACGCCTCCCACATCTCAGGACGTGGCCAAATCGTGGCCTTTTATTTTTACCTTAATATAATCTCTGCCGTTTATTTGGATTAATTTTTAAACATTTTAAATATTATATTTATTAATATAAAAAATTATGATATTAAATCTGGACTGTCTTCCATACTTATTCAAAAATGAGAACCATGTATTCATTATATCTAACGAGATCTGGACTATTTAAATTTAAATTTTTTTATTTTTAATTTCATTTATCAAAATAAAAATTTAAAAAAAATATAAAAAATTTTAATCAATTTGTTTATTACCAATTTGGCTAATACAAATTTAATCTAAAAGGTCTAACTTAATATTAAAATTTTTTATAATTTGACTATCTAAATGCGCTTTAGATAATTCAGATATAATCTGAATAACTCAATTTAATATTAAATTTTTTTTACAATTTTTACATATAATCTATATATGTTCTAGACAGTCTATATTTAACATTAGAAATTTTTATAATTTTTATATTAATAAATATAATATTTAAAATATTTAAAAATTAATTTAAGATGAATGCCATTTATCATTTTAGGGTAAAATAAAAAGCCACAATTTAGCCACGTGTAATGGGTGCTCGGTGCTCATCAATGTGATGAGCTCTGAATGCGAACTCAAAGAAATTAGCACCTAAGCCAATACATTCTAAATTTATTTTGCAATACAAATATCTTACATGTAAATATGTTTTCTAGTTAAAAAAAAAACTCATTTTTCTCTTGTTTGAAAAAATAACATTTTGCGTAGAACATTATGTTATTAATGTATAAACATTTTCATATTATATACGAACATTCTGTTGTTCATATACATGAAAAACTTATACATTGTTGTTCAATTAAAGTACACAAACTATGTATAATGAATGAATATTATGTTGTTAATATATAAATCTTGTCATATTATATATGGATATTATGTTACTCATACACATGAGAAACTTATATTTTTATATTTAATTAAACCACACAAACCATATAAAATGAATACACATTTTATTTAATATATAGACCTTGTTATGTTATGTATAAACATTTTTTTGTACATACTCATTCGGTCCAATATATAAGTCACTTTCTAGAAGTATAATCTGGTCCATTTTATAAGTCATTTGTTGATAGGATTGTTTTGTTTCAGATTGAAATTTTCAAATTACCTTTAAAAAGTAAGATAGAGAAAGACAGAAAAAATAATATTATATGATTGACTTACTTTTTGCTTTTTACTTGAAGGTTATGTTTAAAATTTTACTTACTTTTATTCCTTATACTTTTATTGTATTGGTATTGATGAGATTGATAAAAATGACTTATAAATAACACCTGAGGGAGTATATATGAAAAACTTGTACATTTCAAACGAGAGGTAAATGAGTCTTTTTGCTAGAAAATATATTTGCATATATAAAGTCTTGGAACTTGTAAAATTAATTCAAAATGCATTAAACTTCAGGTGCAATTTTTTTTTTATTTAGGGTCCTTCGGTGCCATTATTCCTTTTTAATTATTTTGAAGAGCCTCTTTGAGCCCATACGTTTAAGATTAAAATATAATGCATTATTAGATTGGTTAGAAATTTTAAGAAAAGGTATTTATTTTATAGAGATCGTATAAAAAACCAGAATATATTTTGTTACAATAAGAAAAAGTTATTATTCTTTATTGATTTTTAATCGTATTATATTTTCATGAATCTTTGTTGATAAAAAATGATAAGCTTGTTAGATTTAAGCATTATTTGTTACCCTATGAACTCCAAATAAAAAACGTCTTTTATATTTGTAAACTTGAACATGAAATATCGCATACAAGCAGGGATGAAGCCCGGATGAGGTATTGTGAGGGCAAGAATGGGAAAATAGGAGAGGGATGGGGGCAAAAAATTCTTCAATATTTTTTTACAAGAAAAATACCTAGAAATTATAGCAAAATATGAAATTGTATATAAGTAGTCATAATTCTTTCCAAATCAACTCTTGGTGATGGATCTAGCCTTTTATGCAAAGTCATCTTTTAACCCAAAATGCAAACCAATTTGTTTAAGTTTATGAAGCATTAATTGTTTGATTCCAAAAATGCTTTCTTATCAATTCTCAATAAGGGATAGAGAGGATATATGCTTTTCAAATTTATTATATTTATAAGGAGAAAATTAAAGATGAAAATCAAGTTTTTTAAAAAATAATTTTTAGATAATTTGAGTGACTTTCTTCCTCCTATATGTCCTAATATAATGCTCTCTTAACTAAATCGTCAATGGTAGATTGGTTATTTAATTTGAAATTAATATGTAAAGAATTGTTTGCTTTTCTGACAGTTTTTTCAAAATAATATTCTTGCTATTTAATAATCAATATTCAATTGGGGGACACACAAAATACCCTAATAAATATAAGTATCATGGAAAAAAATTTTAACATATATATATATATATATATATACAGGAGATAAGAGTAGGAGCCAAGCCAAAAAACTTTGTTTTGGGTGGAAATAACAAAGCATGTATGATAATTAAAAGAAAATTAAATTTATATATATCACTAATATAATATAAATATTTTAACCTATATATTTATATTCAATTTTACACACACACATATAGTATGTGTGTATATATATATATATATCTTTATTTTTAAGTTTTGTTCATTAATTTTTCATGGTATGAAAATAATTAATTATCATGTTTATAATAAAATGTTTAAAAATTCCCTTATCAATATAAACTATTATTAACTTGGTGAATATTTCATCTTTCCATAACCATTAAATAATTTACATGCATCTATGGGATCTAAAAGTCTATTCAATATTAAAAAAAACTCTATTACTTATTTATTAAATTTACTATTTAATTTTTTTTTAGTTGGAACTCTCTTCATTCAAAAATATAAGACATTTTTAATCGAATCTCACCCCTTAATAAAATAATTACCTACTTTCAAAATACCTTTATTTTTTTATATTTACCTCTATTAAATACCTTACAATAAATATAAAGTCATTTATTAATAGGGATACTTTTAAAAAAAGGTAATGATTACACTTCGAAAGACTAAAACTACCTTATATTTTTAAACGAAGGGAGTATGTTCTATATTCAATATATCTTGAGATTTTTGTTGTAATACTTTATAAAGTTTAATTGTAATAATTTTTATAATTTCTTTCATCAAATATAAAATAAAAGCAAAATCAAATGATATCCATGCTTTAAGAGCAAATGTAATGGTATCTTATTGAAAATAAGTAGATTCTATGACAATTATATTTTCAAACTACCGCAATAGTTGGACTATATATGCATAAAATACTACAATAAAATAAAAATAAAAATTTTTATCTAGTGTCTCAAGGTTTTTATAATATGTTAACTTAGCAGGGCTAAAAATATATAACTCCTATATTTTATTAAAAAAAATTAAAAAGTTAAGAGGATCGCGGCCTCTATTAGTCCCCCTGTCTCTACCTTGGATAAGAGAAGATGTGATTTTATATTTAAGACCAAACTAAAATCTTCATATGGATAATTATACTTAGGATATGATCACTTATTTTTTCTAGAAGGTGCTAATATAAAAGGATATTCGAAGGAATATTTACTTAAGAACTAATTACATACTAATCTTATTCTTGACTTTTAAATAGTACAATTTTCTATATTTTTTTTTATCGTTGTATTTTGTATTGATATTAATTAAACCAATTTTATATACTCCTTTCGTTTAAAAATATAAGATATTTTTTAAAGAGTTAAATGTTTAAAAATATAAGATATTTTTAATCTTTCGAGGTGTAATTATTAT